GTTCCACCCCAGCATGAGGAAGAGCTTATTAACATTGAGGGTGGCAGAGCACTGGAATGGGTTGCCCAGGGATGTCGTTCCCTCTCTGGAGACATTCCAAACCCACCTGGACACGTTTCTGTGTCACCTGCTCCGGATGACCCTGCCTTGGCAGAAAGGTTGGACTGCATGATCTCCAGAGGTTCCTTCCAACCCTAATGATTCTGGGAACCTGTCATCAACATAGTGGCTAATGGAGAGATATACTACATTCCTGAAGAAACTTCTTAGTACAGGGTGGCTTCAAACATTGCACTGCTCCCTGATGTAATGAAGTTTTGTAGCAGTGACAAATTAGGGGAAAAAAAAGACAAGTAGTAATGTGTTTGCAATCATGATTAATTACCTTGATGACCCAAGTAGTTTTCCTACTCTTCCTTTTGTGTCCTTCTTCCTTTCAGTGCTGTAGTCTTGTTACCTTGTATCATTTTTAAAGAATTGTATCCTACATGAAATATGACAGCCAAAAACCCCAACAAAAACATATGAAATTTGCTTAGGACTACTAGCAGCAAGTGCAGCAGTTAATATAATGCTAATATATATTAGATGCTTCTGCCAAGCAGATGAACTCTAATAGATTTGGTGAAATACTATGCCAGCCTTGCACTAAAATTTTTCACCTCATCACACCTGTAATTTGAAGTAATGTTCTACAGGCGGATGAGGATTTGGTGTAATTATTTTTTAGGCTGTATTGCCAAAGATATCAAACTCAAGCCTATGCATAATCAAATATACTGAGCCTATCAATCTCATTCTAAATAAGGTTTCCATTTTTTTCTCAGGATTTAGTGTTAGACCATCTATAGCTGTACTTACAGGAACAGTGAATGGTGTTTTTTAAGGTAGCTGTCTTTTCACATAATCCATCTGAAAATACTGAGATCAATGTCATACTATATCCTTTTATTATGTTTAGTTTTCGTTTGAAATATCTGCAGATATAATTTCTTGATAAATATATTTTCCATTTATTGAAGTTAAAGTGGTATGTCAAATATGTTTTGAAGAATTTTATCAAAGAACAAAAAATTTTAGTATCTTTTTTAGGACAATACAAGGAAGTGATTCTTTGTGCATTATTTATTTCTGATATGCAGATGTGAAATGACTTATTACTGTAGGTTTTGTAGAATTTGTTCTGTGGGCCCATGTGATAATAAGTGCTAATAATATGTGATGAAAGTTGCTGGGCAGTGTTAGAAGTGGGAGCATATTATGAATAATCTTTCCAAAAAATAGTGAAGAAATAAAAAATGAGTTAGGAGTTATTAGTTCACTGTGTAGAACTAACCTTTGAGAATGGAAAGCAGATGGAAGGTTTAAGGTTAATCTGTCTAATCCAAATTTGGAGTACTTCTTTTCAGCGTTGTATATTAAAAAAAAAAAGGAAATTTTTATTTGAAAAAATGGATATAAGGGGTAATGTGAAAATGTCAGGTATGTTTAGTGCATTCGTTTCAGCAATGAGAAGTTGATTTGAACTGAACTTGAGCAATGCCTCTTGTATGCACTAGGTGGAGTTTCAGCCTTTCCTATGGAAAAGAACATCCCCATCCAGTGCCACTAGCACCTGAGATTCTGGTTTTGAACTAGTACTAAACGTTGGAGAGGAGATTTTTCCCCATATTTTCCTTTTCAAATTGGCAGTGTTCTTGTGTGGGGGATTGACACCCCCAAATTTCAACACTGATTTTTGTGTACAAAATGTGCTCATGACTGTTTTTTAGGAGGGTGGTTAGGAGAGTTGCAAATGTGTGTAGTAGACAGTGTGCCTACCCTGGAGTGCAGATTTCTGATGTGAGGGATTAGTCCTTTTTATTATTATTATTAATTATAATTTATTATATTAAATTAATTATAATAATCTAATTAAGACTTAATTATAATATGGTATAATAACAACAACAAAACAACAACAACAACAACAACAACAACAACAACAACAACAACAACAACAACAATAATAATAATAATAATAATAATAATAATAATAATTTTATTATAGTCCTCCCAGGTTTTCCAAAATGCCTGTATTGAGCATGTGGTCCACTCGTGTGGCCTTTGCTTCTCTGCAGTGCTGCTGTCACAGTCCCAGTAATCGCTCTGGCCTGGCAGGGACTCGGCAGGGACAGAGCTGCTCTGCATGTGTGTGAGCTGCTGGGCACTGTGTCCCAGGCACCCGGGGCAGGAGGAGAAATCCTGTCCAGGAACACGCCACCGTGCCGTCTGTGCTCTTCTGACACCACCTTACAGTGTGTCTGTATTTAATTGAGGGGTCTGCACTATAAATTACCAGTATTTTTTAAATTGTGAGAATGCTTCTACATGCTGCAACAAGATGGGGAAGGCAGTTTTGTCCAGTGCTGTTTGAGGGTTTGTAATTTTTGTGCTCACTGAAAGCACAGACATTGCTGTCTATGCGACTCTTCCCATTCTTCTCACTGTGTATGATTATTTGAAGCTAAAATTATGTTAGGGTCAACACTATGAAATCCTGCATGTTGAAGTTATGTTGGAAATAAGGCTTCATCAGAAGGGTGACTTGTAATTATCATTAAATGCTCCTAGAAAAGCAGAAAAAAAATCTGCAAAATTCATACATCTCTGCATTTTAAATGCCATGTGTTCGATTTTTTTTTTTTTTTCAATCTGAAATACCCTAAATAAAGTTTTCAGGAATCAGGTTAGGTCAGGAGTACTCTTCCTGATTTTACTTTTAGAGGAAATCATACGAATTCAGGGTGAACTTTCATTCTGTTGGGTACAGGAGAATAATACTGGTCATCCTGGACTCCATTGTCTGGGGAGAAAATTATGACTGTCATCCAAGGAAAAAGTTGCCCAAGTGTTTTGACTGTAGCTTTTGTGATGTTTTAACATCTACTAAAAGAAGTGAAAATAGCAAATGAGGACTTTGGGGGATTTTATCTCATTGTCACTCAAGTTGTTATGTATTTGTATACTTATATAATTGTATCACATCTGGTCCTTTCATTGCTCTGACACATACATGGAAAGTTTAAAACTACTTTCAGCTGTGTACAGACCTAGAAGAAATATTAAAGCCTTTTAATTGCTATTGATTAAAGAGGGTGAAAATACTTCTGTCTTGGGTTCTGAAATTTCACTTTGCTGCTTTCTCATGTACTTTCTAGCTTAATTAGCAATGGTAAAACAGATCTGTTCTTGAATATGTATTTGAATGATGTCCAGGCCTGAAGCATACACAGTTTTTCCTTTGAATGTCCTCTAAGGATATCAAATGTACCTCAGAGAGCAAACTGCTTCTTGGGGAGCCTCTCTTTTTTGCCCTCAGTGCTTGGGTGGTTTGTCCTGTATTGCTGATGTAAGCAGACATGAGTTCTCATAAATTATATAAAAAGATAAGAAGGAAGTTTACTAGGACGGGGCATACCAGCACCATTAAATGGCAAGTGACGCCTCCTTTTCCTGCCCCAGCCCAACAGTTTGAGAATGAGGCAGTTGGTGACTTTAGTTTGAGTCTGACCCTTGCATCCAAATAACCTTCTACATGAAGCTCTCATTGAAAGATTTTTTGTGAGACTTGACTAGAGAGCATGGCCCAAATTATCTATTAGAAAACAGCCTGGAGAATGAAAGCAAGATACAGGTTGCAACTTCTGAAGCCTTTTCTGGAGGGCTGAGCTAGATGTGTGGAGGTAGAAACTACATCTTCCCTGTGATTCCATGGAGCTGGCTGCATTTAAAAGAGTGATGAACATTGATGCAAGCCTTTGCATGTCCTAAACTCTAAACTATTGAAAAAAAGGCAGCTTGCTGTAGGATTAGAACTGGAGACACAACTAGATTGAAGGGTGAGTGTAGACATTCAAGGAATATATAGTAAAACTAGTACAATTGTGTCTGTGAACTTAGATAAAAATATATAAAGAGAAGAGAAAGAAATAGAAAAGAAAGCTTAAGAAAAATGAAGATTAAAGAGTGAAGGAAAAAACTTAGAGTGAATTAATACTGTCTACAATCCAAATTTTAGGGTAACACAATAATCAGTTTGAATGTGTTCATATCAGGTGTGTTGTATTTGATTCACTGCATTCTGATTTATTCTTCTATGACATAATAACTGAATGCTATTATGAAATTAACATACAGATAGTTGGTGTTTTTGATTTCCAGAACTGCCATGTGACTAAGGCGATCAGATACAAAAGCTTTGCAAAGAAGTACATTTTAGAATATTAAAAATTATCTCATTACTATATGCAGGATCACATAACTGGGGTGCTGTAATAATTTTATAATTTAGTAAGCATATAGTGCAAGCTAAAATTGTGGGTGTGAAGTGGAAAGAAACACGACCTTATACATTGTGTTATTTTAGTTGAAAAACAGCTTTAAGTTAAAATTGCTATGAAATTGAAGTCACTTCTTGAAGTCAGCTTCTTCAAGTAAGCATTGGCTATAGCGCACTATGGAAGAAAATTAGGAGAGCATTTTTGAGTGTGATAAAATTACTTGTTTGCAACAGCAGATGACCTTTTGTAAAGGTCCTTACTCTTAGTGGGAGAATTAAATGAATTAAAACTTCAATGATTTTTTTTAAATTAATTTTTTCTCTCATCCTCAAATGATAGTGTTAATTTTCAAAGCTTGCATTTATTACCATTGGAACCTCAGTATTAGAACCTTTTGATTTATATTACTACTATCTGTTGTTCTTCCTTGTATTACAAAAAATAAAAAAAGATACTAAAATTATTTTTGTTTTTATTTTTTTTCCAAAACCAGTTACTCCAAGGTTCTACAGACATATTTTATTATATTGTAGCTAAGATATTGTAATTTTAATAGAATTAAAACTGTAGCCTTTTTACCTTTGGAAATGGTAACAGTCAGTTGATGTGTGCTTGCTGGAAACTATGTATACAGTGTTTACAAGCTAATGGATTTTACATTTAAATGTGTCTGCGCAGGTAATGTGGGTATGTAACTTGTGCCGAAAACAACAGGAAATCCTCACGAAATCAGGAGCCTGGTTCTATAACAGCGGGTCACACGCTCCGCAGCAGCCAGACCAAGAAGGAAGTAGAGCTCTGAGGAACGAGGAAGCACCTCAAGAGAAAAAAGCAAAACTGCAGGAGCATCCGCAGTACCAGGGACCAGCAGGTGACATATCCACACAAGCTTTGGACAAAAACAGATCTCAAGGGCTCACAAGACAAGACTCAATTAAGAATGGTTCAACAGTAAAGCATCCAGTAACGAGTGACACGTCAGACAGGTAAGAAAGTATTTTATGATTATCCTGGTAAGATCTGATGAATTTATGCTACAAATTTGATTTTATTTTTTACAATTTTGTTGTCTTATTATTCCGTAGCCTATAAAATACATACTGGTTATTTTGAAGCAGCATTGAGAAGCCTTTTGTTGGTTTCAGATGGTCATAGCCAGTGTGTGCTCTTCATTCCTTCTCACTAAAAAAATGGGGGATGTGACAGTTGCAGTGTGACAGAGTTTGTCCATGTGCTTACAACTTGGTCAAATTACAGTAACTGTGCTGTGCAGAATGTTACCATATTTCTTTTGTGGTCACTACAGAAAATCCAAAATAGGACTCAAAAAAGCAGATTAATGGAAGACACACCCGTTCAGACTACTGAATTAAGACTTCTGGTTGTACTTGCAGTACATAGTATTGAGGATGCTGAAATCTTTGTGTAATGACTTGAATCTTTTCATGGTTTCTCAGTTTCTTGGTATTAGTTACTGTCATTAGTATAATTATTTTTTCCTTCCCTGATTTACATTGGTGTTACTTGTGTTGTTTGAAACTGTAACTCTATGAGTGCTAATGTAGGTTTAGCTAGAGAATGGAGCAGGAACTTCCCTCCCTTTTTCTTAATGTGATTATTCCAAAAGGCACCAGAAAATTCTCAGCCTCAGTGGCCAGGTTTTATGGGAACACAAAAATAAAACTGGTTACATCGAATGAATTTACTTTTTTCATAAGCCACACTTATGGCTTATGAACATAGAATTTTAAATATGGTGGGAAGGGAAAGATGAGAGCACGGTTGCTCAGGTGTTTCCATGGAAATGGTATCTTCACGCGCATGTGAGGGACCTCCAACTGCCTTGGAATTTGGCAGCCAGAGCAGTATAATCTGGCAGCTTTTCTCTGCTGCCCAGATATGACCTCATTACAGCATTTATTCTGTGAGCTTGAAACAAGTTCGACATATATAGCATCTTTTGCGTTTAGTGTAAGGAAAATAGTTTTCGGTTTTCTTCACATCTTGTATTCCCCCATATTTTATTTCCTATTTTTGGTCTTACATGAGAGCAAATTGAATGTAATGAATCTAACCTCTTTTGTTTAATGTCTTCTCCTATGGCTCTGATTTCAGCTGTTGGGTTCAGTACTTAGTTGTCCTGAGTGCTCCTCAGTTACATGTACAGTGTCTGAAAAACTCAGCTGGCACCCTAACCTGACATGAGAGAGCAGGAGAGACAGACTGATTCTCTGGTGGTTCATTTTTTCCCACTAATTTTGACAGAAAATTGGTATCATAGATAAGGTGATAACAAAAAAAAAAGTCCCAAACCCTTGTTAGGAGCAGCAATTTAACTCTGAAAGTGTTTTTATATTATATGCATGCAGAAATATGGAGGGAGTGATATATGAATAAATATATAATTGAGATAAGCAATACGTATTTACCCTAAGTACAGTTAAACAGTAAACATGGACAGTATAAAGTAATACTTTCCAATAGGATAAATGTAGGCTTTGTGCCTGAAATCAGAACTATTTTGCTGATTGTGATCACTTCTACTTGATATATTATTTAAGTTCAGATAGTTTTTTCAGTCATTAGCCTCCTCATGTTTTAGTTGGGTAATAATACTGATGTTCCCTAATTAACATATACAAGTATGCTTAGAATATGATATATATTATATGCTAATGAAGGATAGAGGGTCTTCTGAATAATTTTATTCCCTAATGTTCCTCACATAGATATTTTTTCTGGACCTAATGAAAAAGATTCCTCTGTGATGTCCATTCAAAGTCCTACTGGTCAAATGGGCTTTTAGAGGAGAATATCAACAGCTCTGAGGAAGACTACCCCAGAATTCAACTAGGTATCAGCAGAAATTGAGCAACTAGCTAGTATGTTAGACCATTTGTCTACATGAAAGAGTTCTTTGAGAAAAACTTGGCCATTCAAAATGTCCAAAATAATAAGTAAATAGGCAAAAAAGTCTCAAATATTTAGAAGTGGTTGTTGCTTGCCTTGGACAATCACAATAATGGAAGTATGTAAATAGAAATGTAAGTAGAAAGTGAGAACTATATTTTCTGTCTTATTTTTCATCAGAAGGACATTAGTTTTGACACAAAAATAATTTAAAATGTTAAATACAACAACCACTTGTGAAAAGAAAGGTGTTGCTAAGAGTTTATACATTTCGGTTTTGATTTGAATAGAAAGGTAAAATACATTATTTTTGTTGAAGGTTTTAAACTCTTTTTGTTGCTTCCATGGGTGTTGCAGCAGTCATTGCTTAGAAGTTCCTTAAATCAAGTATCATATATCTTATCTTGGTCATCTAGAGACATGTTGGTCACAGAGTAAAGGGCAGCATTCACTCCTTTAATCTCAAGATCATCAATGTCCTTTCTGTCTCACTCCTTACTGTGTCTTTTCTGGTTGTGCTCTTTTGTTTTTCCATCCTTGAGTTGTACTCACCATATAGTTTTCCTGTCTTCTTTATTAGTATTATTCATTAAATTCATTAAATGAATTTCATTAAATTTTTATTGTTTCAACCATTAGACTAGTATTCTCTTTCCTTGATGTAAGCAACAGTCCCATTTGCAATTGATAAATCCCAGCCTGTTTAGACAGATAGATAGGTATTTGTTTATAGATCTTCTCTGGCTGATTGATAATTTTTTGCCTGAAGAAGCCTGAAATGAATGATTTTGGATTACACATTCTCCAAGAGCATGTTTCTTATATTGGATTCATTACAGAAAAAAGCAAAATAAAAAAAAAAAATCTGTTCAGAAGTAAGTTGTACTTAACAAGAGCAGAACAGTTTTTCATTACTTTTTTTCTTTCTAGTTCATATAATAGAATCATAGCATGACTTAGACTGCAACCTTAAAATCACTTAGATCCCCCCCACCTGCCATGGGCAAGGACAGCTTCCACTGGACCAAAGCCTCATCCAGCCTGGCCTTGAACATTTCCAGAGATGGGGCGATCCACAGCTTTTCTGGATAACCTGTTCCTGTGCGGCACTACCTTCACAGTAAAGATTTTCTTCCTAATATCTAGCCTAAATCTACCCTCTCTCAGTTTAAATTCTTTAGCACAGTATTTACAATCTGGCCTATGGTGTTTTTACTGCTTTTTCTGTAGCAAACCTGTGGGCAGGGCAGGGGCAGCAGGCACACAAGTATGATTCACTAAATGCCCATGGTGTATCTGACATTGTTTCGGGTGAGACTAATGTAATTTGTTCCACATGGAGCTTTTGTGCTAAGCACAGTCGAACTGTGATCATTTGTAGAGGTTTTTACAGCCTTAACCTTGTGTGCAGGTTGTATGAATGCTGATACAGTGTAACACCAGATTCCCTAAAAACTGCAAAATGATGTGAATCCAAGAAATGCGAAACATTATTTAAAGTAATCCATAGACTCAGAAGGTCTATTCTGAGGTCTGCTGAGCACAGATGGTAGATTTGTAGCTGCAGTTCTTTGATTTGCAGATTCACGTTAATTCTGGATTAGGCAAAGGGGTCTGATTTTATTTTATTTTTCATCAAGATCTTTCATGTAGTCTATTGTTTCCAAGATCTACACTACTCGTCATACAATATGTGTTTTATTTCTAGCAGAAAAATAATTTGAGCAGACACAGTCTCATTTTTTCAGTCATTCTGCAGGAGGCAATCAGCTTGTGAAATAGTCGGTTTCTTCATTCCAAGCCCATGTTTATAATGTTCTATTAAAATGTGTACAACATCCTAAAATTAAAATCTGGGAAACAAGGAACCTATGAAGCTTTTTTAATTTGTCATTCTCTTTGCCTGAATTGTTAGATCTTTATGCGGTGTTGCCATACTTACCTTTTAAAATAATTATTTTCTCTTTCAGTATGATCCGTTGAAAAGCCATTTCAGTAATTTTCCACATATGAACTCAGTGTTTTAAATGGTAAATATTTTGTGACATTCCAGAGGTGTTGCTTCACAAACCTTTATTCTTTACATATACATAGCTCTCTAAAAGCACTAAACGGACTCATTCATCTTCCCAAAGCAAGGTTACAATGACACAGCTATTAATATATATCTGAAACAATGTTATGTAGTTCAGGTAGATGTGAATTTTTGAGGGTATAAAAAAATTATTATTTTCCCTAATCTGTATTTTATGAATCCAAAATGTTCTTCAAAATTTGAAATGATTACTTTAATTTTTTCAATACATATTTTTCAGGCATTATATTAGTGGAAGAAAAGCTTCCTCAAGGATATTTTTCATGAGAGTCAATGAAAAAAAAAGAAAGTGAAAATATTGTGAGAATGTTCATTTTCATGTGTTATGAGTTGATTTATTCCTGGTACATCTATCTGAGGTTGAGCCTTGTCACAAAGAGAGAATAGGTTCTTGGTATAGGAAAAGATCATGATCTGTAAGCTCATGATCTGAAGGAAGACTAATAAATAAAGCTGCCTGAACCCTTTTCAGATTAACTGTAAGGATATGAGATTAAATCATAAAAACCAGAACGAAAACAACAAATTGAGAGAGTGAGCAGCTGCAGAGTTGCACAACAGCAGTATTTATTTTCCAGGCCAGCAGACACAGTAAAGATATATCCTACTTCCCTCTCCCTTGTTTTCTCCTTTCAGAGGTACATATGTATTTGGGGGTTCATTTTCTATCAACCCTGTTACTTTGGAAATAAAAGAGGATTTTTAAGGTGGTTTCCACACACTATATAGGAGGCTTGGAGAATGCATTTTATTCTGAGTAAGAAATGCGAACAAGAGACTACTTGGGTCTGAAGATGTAGGATTTGTGCATGTGTTCTTTATGAAATGTATACATGTGCTTCCCACATATAAAGGCTTTACTCTATTGTGTCACCAAACAGCAGTAGCATTGGAAGTGGTTTCCTGTGTCCCTTTCCTTCCATTCTTGGGAGGAATGCCAGTATGAGCCAGCAGCGTAGGATCTGTCTTTTGGGACTGCAG